CCTTCCTGAGGCTAACTGCTTTGCCCTGGCCAGACTCATTTTATTAAACTCTTGACAATGCGGATGCAGCTGTCCTGCTCGGGTGGTTAAAATTTGGGCTGAGCTAAACCTTCAACCATGCCAAGGGTTGCTCGGGAGAAAGCTGGTTGGCCTGGACCCAATGCAGGGGCTGTGCTGACACTTCAACAGGGTAAGCAGCTGGGTTCGAGTGTCTAGCCCTGGCACCCTTTGGTTTGCTAGCTTCGTGAAACTGTGACAAACACAGCGCCAAAGACCGCCATTGGGCTTCGCTTCTTAAAAAATAAATAATCAGATTTTAGTATGTAAACTGTACGTGACTGTAGCATGTAAAATATGGAACGTGTCCAATACAAATGGCCTTTGTTCAGAAGTTTGAGGCTGAGCTAAATCCTACCCAGTTGCTAACAAAACCCTAATACATCTCGGAACATTTTTGCACAGCGTCTGAATTATTCAATCCTTCCTTTTGTCCAGCAAATAACGACAAAGCTATGAAATGCTTTTTTGTTGTCGTTTTTGTTTTAAATACAGTGACCACTTGAATTTTGTGCTTTTGTCTTTTTTTTTTCCTTTGACCAGCCCATGATTTAGTAGAAATAACGATAAGTTCTTATACGTATCACACCATACGGTAACTATGTGGCATACGATATACATCAAAATATTGCTATATCCTTTGGTCTGGGTCTGTAAATATTGATGAGAATTCGGGTGCAGGGACCTTAAGCTTACAGAACACTGATATTGGAGAGCCCATCGTAGCTTGCATTTTCCTGGTTCTTACGGCTGATGAAAACTTCAGATGCAGGGCAGCCGAGATTCAAATAATTGACTGCAGAAGCTTCTCAGGACTACGTGAAAGATCACTGAAGGAAGAGTTGATGTGGAAAACAGAAACCTGGAAAATAGAAAGTGTAAAGCTGCTGAAAAATTGGGAGAAAACAATTTAACATTAGATGGAGGTAAACATAAATTAGCGGCCATCAGGGAGATTCACGGTGTGCCTCAAACTTCCACACTGCTCTGAACTGCTGACTCCCTATGGTTAGAGGCAGCAAGCAGCTGGTTGCAGTCCTTTGCAATGAGTCTATTTAAAGTGCTTGAGGCACATTGCAAAGGAGATGATGCTGCGGTGATCAAACACTTGGCCGGGCCGTACGAGGAACAGGAAGGCTAGTTAGTGCATGAAGAGCACTGAAAAGAATCCTTAAATGGGATTTGGGCTGAGGGCTTCTTGCTGCCTTGTGTTATCTGGCCTTCTGAGCAGGAAAAAATCCATCCAGTTTTGAAAGCCCTTCAGATAACAGAGCCCTTCGTGGCCCAACAATAACTTAGAAAGTATCAGACTGCTACACATGAGGATGCATTGTTGTAAGGAGCTATATGGTATCAAATGCACCATTGTCTAATTGCTTTATGAAATAAAGGGGACAGGCAGTGTCTTCCATGTTTGCTGATATAAAACGAGGCTCTTGTTTTTAGTGACAAATCGAGTCAGCCACTGGATTTTCTGTAAATGCAGGACTTGTACTGCAGGTGCTTCAGGGCCTGTAGCCCAAAAGCACCAGCCCGTCCTGAAAAGGCAAACCGGGTCACACAGGACTCCCTGCTGGCTGCTGCGTTCACCAGGTGAGGAGCACGATCACTGTTTTCACTCAACAGACCCAGCATCTCAAAAATTAGTCAGACACCCCTGCAAACATGTGAGTCGGACAGGGGCTTGACAGAGCCACAGAAAGGCAAAGAAAAGTCTCCCAACATCAGTTACTTACGACTCGTGTGGCAGCGATCCTCCTTAAATTCTTGCAGTTTCATCACTGAGGGTGACATCTACTTGGAAATACGGTTTCATTTTACCTGGCCTTTGGGATGCTTTTACAAACGTATATACAACTGCTGCTGTAACTGGAGCTTGCAGCTCCTAAATTTCATACGTTTCCCACAGTCCTAGCGCCAGCTCTACTGCCAGAGAGGTGACAGCTCCCACATCCCGGAGGATTCCCTGCTACTGGCTTTGGGAGGCCGAGTTCACTGCGACCTGTCACCACAAACGCTGTGCTTGGCTCGAGGCTCACGTGCTAGCAGGGACAACGAACAAAGGAAAATCGTGTCCCTGAGCAGGGAGCTGCTAATGATCAGGGTAATGAGGTCCTAGAGCAGCGCTCCAAATGGAGCCAGCTGAGGAGAGAGAGTGGGGAGACCACGACATTTAAAAACTGAATAAATTTATAAAACTCTGAAATATGGCATGGAAGACTTCATTAACAGGTTCCAGACTTGGAATTGCCCTATAGGTCAAAACCTTCCCATCCGAGCTCCCTTGGCTGGCAAAGCAGGCAAAGCTTCCTGAAAGGCTCTGGAAGCTCATCACCGAGTAGTTATCCTCGAGGTGGGAATTTGGCACCGATGCACAAATGATAGTTAATTGCAATGAAGTACACGGCAGCTTGATTTCTCTATTGCCCTCAAGGAAATAAATACAGTTACAAGATTTACCAGAAATATATCCCAGAGGGGAGGAAAAAAATGAAGTAGACTCGGTAACTGAATTGTTGATACAAGGCTTAAGGGGGAAACAGACTTGGCGATGCTCATGGCTTGCTTGCATGTGCAGAGAATTTTGCAGGGTTTTGCTCTTGTACCTACTCCTAGAAAAATCAGTTTCCCTTGTGTTGCACGAGGTCTCTTCCTCCACCCCTACCTGCTCAGGTTACAGGGTTGAGACTTCTTCCATCTCTTACCTTTTTCTCCTTTCCCTGGCTTGCCTTCCACGGACTAAGGCTGCTTTTGGAGTATTCACGCATCTTCTTGTCCACGTGCTGTTGTGCGGGAGCTTTCTTCCAGCCTCGTCCTGGGACATCCCCCAGCTGCCTCCTGTTGCCACAGCAGCAGCACTCCTCCCTCTGGGGCCAAATAGGCAGCCGGCTTTGGAGTGACTGTAAGCAATCACAAAAATATCTCCAGACCCACGGCTTCTCTCTTCTTGTCAGTTACTGTAGATGCAACTGACGTATTTACATCTGTTCCTTAATCTGGAGTGGCAATCAATCCCTTCATCTTGTTGTAAGAGCTCGGGTCTTCTGCCATTACAGCATGTTATCAGAAATTAGAAGGGGGTTGGTTTGTTTTTAAGACATTAGATCATTGCCAGATTTTATTCTGATGCTATTAAGAGCTTAGAACGGCCTTCCAGCTGCCCTAGATAAGGCAAAAGTTCTTGTTCTAAAACCTTTGCTTTGGGAGGAACTACAGTAGCATTTTATGCTGATTTTGAGGATGGACTGAAGACTCTGACAAGGTCATTGCTTCCAGCCTCTGCGTTGTCTCCAAGTTCTATCACTTGGCATTAAATCATTCGTTATTAGAGGAAGGCTCGTAATCAGGCAGCACAGTACCTGAAACCTCCCAATATAAGTTCATTTTTATAACCCCCAAGTCTGAAATTTGTTTCTGAATGGGAGTCAAAACAGTGATAAAACAATTCCTACAAGTTACGCTACGCCAGTGCTGAAATTAAGCACAGTGGGCCCATGCACTCAATTCCTTGTTTAAGCAGGAATTTCAATTACTAGCTTTATCCCCCTTAAAGGTATTAAACCACTCTTTTCTATTCGCATTTAGGGGGGAAAAACGACTAATTAGTATCAATAGACAGATTTGCAACGTAGTGTTAGTGAAGTCATTTTGCACAAGAACGTATTATCGCTCTCTTTGAAGGTGCTGACAAGAAAACAGCATTTTGCTACACTCGTCAGTCTCTGCTTCTTACATACGCACTACTTTGTTGCTAATACTATGGTTCATCACAAAGGGAGTAATATGTCAGAACAGTTTATTTCTCCTTCTGTCCATTTTCTGTAGAAAAGCTATAATTATTTTGATTTATTGTAAATCCAGAATTGGTTATTACAGAAGGCAATCGGTGGGTCATAATCTAGGTAAATAGCAGCTTTGCAGTGAGTTCAAAGTTTGTGAATAAAGCAAAAAGTCTGCTTATTACAGAGAACAGCAGTAGAAAATTCTTGCCTTTACAACAATCATCGCACCAAACATTTGAACGGTGCTCCTGACCATCCCGTTTGTGATAATTTAACCAGCGGTAAGAGTATTGCTCTAGTTTTCCTACAGATAGAGAACCATAGTCCTTAAATTAGGAGGATGACAGAGTTCTGGCTACTGAACTTGTTTACAGACAGTCTCCGCTATCTTTTTACACTTTGATTCAAATGTATGAGTTTACTGACTCATTTAATATAAATTAAGATAGTGGGCCAAGGTGTTGCTTAAAATCAGATACCAGTCAGCTGCCCAGCAGCGTTCCACATGCAATGACCCAAGTGAAAATACAGATCCCACGAGGGTTTCAGGTCAAAAGCAATTTATTCAGGGGAGCCACACGCTCCTTCACATCTCAGATTATTTTCCTTTCTCATTTGACGCCACCTTATCTTTACAGCATACAGAATAGTCACTTGTTTCTCAGTTGTATTATCTCCTTCGGCTTACATAAATTTCTGTATAATTGTATTAGAAATGTAATTAATACTGTGGCTGTTGAGGTTTAATAACATGATGCACACTTCAGTATAGTAACAGTGGTTTAATTTCAAACCGTGCTCTCCCTTCCCACTCTTCCTTGACTCTCCTTAAGAAAGTGCACCAAAAAAACCCAAACCACATATTATTTTCCTATTCCACTAAAACTTTAACTCTTACATACATGTATTTTGCTGTTTGTTCTAATAAGGGAACTGACACATCCCTACATCCCTTAAGTTCCCTAATAAACAAACCAATTTTTTTGCTATTCTTTCTCCCTTTGCCTACTTTTTTTTTTTTTTTAAATGAACAAACCAAATAACTTCCAAAGTGTTGGGAGGTGGGCAAAACATAGCAGAACAACTTAATTTTCACTGTTGTTTAGCATAAGCATTCACTTTCCATTAGCACCCCCATAAAAGCTTATGTTTCATCTGCAGTTCTCCATTTGGAAGAAGCTGCATTTGCCATTTCAAGAGTCAAAATATCAAGAGCATCCTTTGGCTGACATATGCAATTAGCTCAAGTTCACTCAAGGACATGGAAAAAGCAGAAAGTAATGACCAAGAAAAATCATATAAAGGTGGGCCTTTGACTACAAAAGAGTGGCATTTTCAGATCATTCACTGAGTCTTGTTTCTCATGGGCCTGCCTTCTCTAAACTTGAGAACAGTCCATCCTTCCCAATAAATAAATACATAAAATTGTTGTATGTACCCTGAACTACCCATCCATTACTTCCCAGGAAGGCCAAATACTCAGGGATTCTTCCAAATCTTGTGTACAAGCATGAAGCAGCCAATCATTAAATACTGATGATGCAAGTTTCTTCAAGGCTAAGCTGCAGCATCTGGCCCTTTCATGAAACACTTCAAAACTAAAACGCTTACATACTTCCTGAAGGTGCTCTGAGGATCACCAGCTGCCCACAAAAACACCCTAGCCACATATGTTTGAAGATGCTTTCAAAAAAAAAAAAAAAAAAAAAAAAAAGTGTTTTACAACTTGATACAGTGCTTTGAAAATTTTCCTGCATCTCTGAGAACTTGACAAATAAATGAAAAAAATGCAGAGCATCACATTTACAAAGCACTTCTGAAAAATTAGAAATATTAATTGAATCAGCAGGATAGTGTGCTTCATTAAACTTCATCTAAGTGGATTTTCTATTGTTAAATGCTTCCAACAGAACTCTAGCACTGAACTGAATCTACTAATCTGGTCAAGCTGACATGAATTTTGTGCCAGAATTGATACATGTTGAATATCATCCAATTAATTTAAGGACCAACTTCTGTCTGACAGAGATTTAGTCAAAGAAGCTCCCCCAGAAGAAGCCTGTCCAGATGTGTCAGTGTCTTATGATGTTACATCACTGCTGTGAAGGGTCATTTCAACAACTCCACCTGGCTAGGTAAGATTAAGCAACTGATCCCTTAGTTCTCCACAGAAACTGGTCTAACATCACAAAACCAATCCCCAGGAATGATAAACCCATAAATTGGCAAATGCTTATAAAAAGCACCTTGATGATTATGTGAAAAAAGTTCAGACAAAACTTCCCAAGACCATAGTGTTTAAGTTAACAGACTTTTCAACAGGGACGATCAGAAACCAAATGAGAAGTACCGTGCAGGATTACTCAGTACATATCAGTGAAAAAAGATATTGACTTTCCTTCTGATTAGGCTACAAATTTTGTTACAGCCCTCTACCTTCCTTATTTCCATTTTTTTTCCAAAACTAAGACCACAATGCAGCAAACAGACTCCTTTTATTTGGCGTTAGCAAGCCTAGCACAAGAGCAGCAGCAGTGCTTATCTCGATACCAATCTTAACTACTACTCTAGCTAGCATATAGCAATGTTATTTGTTTTTGTATTCACTCTTAGCTTGTAACTTTTTAAAAATGATAGACAGGCTTAGGTTTTTTGTATGTTTGTTTTAAAAAAAGGCAACCGGAGATTTCTTCCCAAAGAATAAATAGAACACTAGGTCAAGCAACAGTCATTCATTTATTGACTTAAACAAGCAAGAAGTATCCTCAGACATAATGGCCACCACTTGAGCAATACAAATCAATACTACTGAAGAACAGGGAACATCTTTTTCTCTCACCCCTCCCATCCCAGAAGTAACAATAGAAATACCAGGGCCCCTAGAGAAAAGAGAAGGAGAAAAATTATAAAAGGCGCTTATAATGAGCTGCAGAGTTGAAACATGGATACTAAAAAATCATTAGCTACTCCACCACATCACCACAATCACCTCAAAAATAACTTTCATTGTTCCATTTCTACCAGGTAACAAATATATAGCGCTGTTTAACAGCGATTTCAATGTATTAACAACTGTCCTCAGCTGAAGCAGAACAGCAATTACTTGTTTATATTAAATTTGAGACTGCAGGTAGAAAGAAGTGTTGCCAGAGAATATGATGCAAGTCTTCTCTAGTTAATGAAAAGGGAGCAGAGGGAGAAACAAAGCTGGTTTTAGCAGTTACTGCATGTCTGTAGCAATCGAGCAATTCATTCTCTGTTGATACTTCATTACAGACATGATATCCTGATAGAGTATGTCAGCTCTACTCACCCTATGACAGAGTATCTGAAGAATGTACCTATAAAGTCGCTTAGGTTGCGGGCCACTGAAAATCCCAACCTGCTACTCCTGTGCGGGTATTTTTTTTTTTCATCAGACACCATCAAAAAAGAAAATCCAAACAGACTGCATGCAAAACTATCATTGCTATATCATTTTGTCTTCCTTGTAACAGCTGAAAATACGAGTAAGGCATTCCTCAGATTTAGAGAAAACATTAGGAGGCTGTAGTTTTGCAGGCAAGGAGACCTTTTATTTTAATCCATTAAAAGAACCCAAAATAGTCAGCAGGTGGCCACATCTATCCATGTTTCATTAAAATCACATAAACCCTAAGTACAAAAGCACCACTGATTATTGCTCTAGAAAAACTGCATGAAAAATTCAAATACGCACAGTAAAAACATCACCATATGCACAAGACTTAATTTCTTAAAGCAAGTGTATGGAATGCTGATCCAATTTTACACATACCTTGCAATATTAAGTTGATATTTATATTACTTGGCAACAATGGGAATTTCTAAAAGCACTGTTATGAGAAGGGAAATGTTCATATACAGTTTAATATGTCAACTATCATAGTCCTAAAAAAATTAGCATTTACAAAATACTTGATAAAAATATCTTTTAAAAGTTGTCCAAGAGGTACATAAAATCAACCCAAAATTTTCATGATATTTCATTCCTTCTTGTCACCTACAGATTCAGTTTTCTGAGCCTGTGGAGAAGAAAGAAAAATTAATTACTATAGTAAATTGCTGTTATATACGTATGAATACCCACCCTACTCTTACTCCTTCCATTTCTTATTTTTAAACAGCTCAATTTCAACCCTATGTCGATATTACATTCACACAAACAAAACAGGTACAGTCACACACTTCTCTTAATCCATTGGTCCCAGCTTTTCAAAAGCAATACATGCCTTACCTGTCAGCTTCCATTGTTCATACTGAAAAGCACCACACCACTACCTGTTTCTATTCACTGCACACATGCAGAATGCTCTACCGTACCCTTAACTTTCACTGTTTCAATCTGCCCTTTTACTGACAGTGTGCTGGGTGGGGCACCTCTGGATGTTGAAACACTAACAGTTGAGCGAGAGATGCGAATCTGCAATAACATTATGGGCAATAAAAAGAAACATTATGAACATGCTATCAATGTCTGAAAGGCTGAATAATTAAAAAAGCACTGATTCAATCAGCAGGAGGTATGTGTGGAAAGTACCTCTTCAGCTTTATTTTCACCATTTTCAGATGGTGTAGTACCTTCCTTTGCAGCTTCTTGCTTTTCATCCTTCTTCCCTTTAGCACCTTTGTTGGCCTTTGTTCCAGGTTCCTTCTGACAGAAGATTAAAAACATGGGCACAGATGTTGCATGAATAGCCACAACTCTACATCTTTATCAAAAATCCTTCATATGAAGTACGAAGCAAATTCTAGCAAGCTGCTTGTGCTGGACTGAAACAGAAAACAGCTAAACACCACCTGAAAAATTTACATCCAAAGTTAACCAGACTCCCTAAATTTCTAGGAAATTTACTTCTTTTTTGTTTCTCTTAATTCACTGGGATACAACAAAACCCTCAAACTATTTTGGTTGCACTGATTAAAAACCAGAGGTATCTAAAATATCTGTATGAACAAATCCAATTATAATATATGGAAAGCTTATTTAGCCAAGCACAAACACCACACTGCTTGTGCAGCAGCACTACAGTTTTGATTAACATGAAATAATAAATTAGATTAACAAAATTAAGCACTTTTGTTGGCTGTCCTTTTGTTAGTTTGGTAACATCTGTGATGTTCATTTCATGTCAATGAAAGAACCAACCAACACATGAGAAAGGCAAACTGATAAAATTCCATCTGCAGCAACACAAAGCAGAGAATTTATCAAAAGGAACTATCCTAACATCTACAGTTTCATTTGGAGATATGCTCTTGAACAGTTCCTATGTTGAACCTACTTTTTTTTATTCCTTGCTTTCTGTATGTATTTGTATTTGTGATCTCAGAGCAGTAGAAACATAGGATAAAGATAAAAACATAAGTAATGTAAAAAAAATGTAAATCATGTTTGGCAGTGTATTTTTTTTCATTGGCAGCTAAAATAGTTCTGATAAACCCTGTGAATATCTTCCATGGCATCATTCGCTCCAAATTCCCCATGCAAAATGGCAACAGAAGCTGGGAGAGGGGATATTAAGGTCAGTTTCCCTTTGCATTGGAACATTTGCAGCCTTTCCAGAGAGGTCCCCCCAGAGCAGTGGGGCAAGGAGGAAGGGATGTCATTAATCCCAGCTACAGGAGAGCTTGAATTACTCCTTTCACTCTTGAGCTTCGATCTTACACAGCAGCTGCAATGCCTGAGATGCTTACTGGTGGTGTGTATCATCTTAACTCTTCAGCTACAAATGAGTGAACTGAGGACTTAGTAAATCTGTACTTTGCAAGCTTTGAACAATAAAAGGGATGCTGAAGCTGTATTATCTTTAGTTGTTTATTAGCGGGGTCACAGCACACATTTGCTGCTTTTTGTTTTGGAGACCAAGATTAATATACTCCTTAAAATGTGATCTGGTCAGAACTTGAAAAAACAGACTACTGCACTAAAAAAAAAAATACTTAGAGTTATGTTGAAAAGGAGTCCAGTTGCCTGAAATAAGCCTTGGATGTCAATGCAGCTTCACCTGACTCATTGCACCATGTTCATTTCATAACACACGCTGGAAGATACAGAACCTACCACATTCCCTTCCTCTCCTAGCGGCTCTTTTTAAGAGAGAAGCATGACAGACTTAGCAAGACATTGTTAGTATTTTAAGTTGCTAAGTTATATATAATGTGTTCAAAGTCATAGCTTTACTTTCACACATGGACTTCATATTCTGATACTTGCCCAGCTGAGATCCCAATACAAGGACTTGAAAAATGTAAGCGTGAGGAGTGCTGGACTGAGCTTCCAGCAGTATGTTTTTTTCTGATAAAGCAATTGTTCTTATTTAGCATTCCCCTTGGGCGCAAATAGATCTACAGTTTCTGAAGTACATGATTCACATGCTGAAATCCTGGAAAGGTATTTCAGACTCTAATAAGATTTTAATTTGACTGTAACTGACCTAGAAAACCCAAACCATTCAATTTAAATATATTTAATTTCACCTTTAATTATAATTGTGCATTCTCAGCAATTGCCAGGCTTCAAGAAGAGATAAGAGTATCTCACTATGAAATGAAGTACTGCCCCTCTAGACAACGAAACAGGATGGCATGCAGTAATCTCAAATCCTATTGTAGAAACCAAACCTGTAAATTTCAGGAAAGGTGTAGGAAAGGTGAAGAATGTTTTTGAAGTAGAAATTAACTACAAACTAACATAGTCTGCGTATCAAACAGGCAAGACGTTTTGTTTGGGTCAGTAATGAGGCCAGGAAGGGGTGGAACAGAAAGAAAAGAATGATCTAATTTGTTTTTTCTTTGAGGGGAGAACTGGGAGGAGGGCAGGGGAGCTGATGCCTCTCACAAATACTCTGCGAATTCAACTGTTTGCAGTGCAAAAAGGGAGTGTACTTGCTTATTATTGGCTACGAGGATGGCAGCTGAAGTATATTTACCTTAGTGGTTTTCCTTGGCTTGGGTTCAGGTTTTGGTGGAGCAGGTTTCTAAAAAGACATTTTCAGTTGCATGATGTATTAAACATGTTACCAGAAGCCAGTAACCCAAGCTCCACACAGCTTCCCCCCCACATCCCCTTCCCTTACTTCCCACTCGTTACCGTGCACCTCAAAAAAGGCTGAAAAACCTTAGTGCACCTCCTCACCGTACACACACCTAGGAGCTCACTCTAGGAGTTGAAAGCAGACCGAGGGTCATTTGAAGAGACAAACACAGAGATCAGAAGTAACTATTAAAAAAGGCCTATCAGATGTGCTCTAACAGAGAAGAGAAACTAAACCCAAATACTAGTAGTGGCAGCGAATGAAGCCCTCAAAGGACAGCCTTTTCTCTTTCACAGACAAGTTGCACTTCCACAACTACCAGCCTGCAAAAGGACACTGAGTCAATACTGAATGTAGCACACGGCATTGCACTGAGGTGGGGAAATGTATCTTCTATCAGACTAACTTCCCAAACCCAAGAAAATGCAATTATCTTTAGCTGTAGAGTTCTTAAATACCTCTCAGCAAGAATTAAAATTGAATCAAGCAAAATGTAACAAACCTGATGGGGCTGAGAAAGCACTAGAAAAGTATACACCAAGGGCTGTCACAGATACTTACAGCTGACAATCTTGCTGATCGTCTCGTGGGCTACAGAAAAGGAAGAAAGGAGAAGACATTTTTATAGGCATACAGCAAGCAGCATTCAAAGCAACACAGTATCAGTCATGATGATAGCATAAAACACGCCCCTACCAAAATACCCATCTATTGCCAAACACAATTCAGGGCATCCTCATCTTGGAGGACCTAAGTTTTAAAATGACAAAGTGATCTGTAATTCCTGACAAATTCTCCTCCATATCTACTCTCAATATGGTGAAATACTAATTTCCCCCTATTTTACAAGTACTCCTGAGGCTGTTGCTGCACTCTGAAAGGTTCACAAATGCATTACGTGTGCCTACCTGTGCAGAGGACACTGAATCTTTCTCAAAAATACTTGAATTTCGTAAATACTTAGAATGATGTTTCTGTAATTTATTAGATGTTATTTGTAATAGCCAGTAAGGAAGACTATCTGATACACAGCAGAATAAAGATAACATCCTTCCCTAGAGGATATCGGAGCCCTAAAATTTCAAAAAGGAAAAAAAAAAAAAAAGAGAGGTGCCCTCACTTCCACATTACCCCCCACACTCAATCCAGGAGTGCATATGACGAGGCATACAAAGGCAGCTGCAGAATCACAGGGAAAATGAATTCTTCTATTTAAACATAATTCTAAAAAGGAAAGAAGAACGTCAAATACTGTGCTTTTCTTCCTTCTTCCTTCATCACCTCCCTTATTAATCTTTATTTCATTCTGTTCTTTCTCATAAGTTTACCACTGAAGATGAGTTAAGCCTTCAAAGCATCTGTAAGCTCATTGGTTTGCTAACAGTATTTTCTGAAATCATTAAAACAGATGAACCCACGATCCAGTTACACAGCATGGTTAGCAAACATGGTTAAAGTTTGGCCTGTATCATAAAACTGGAATCGCACTTGTAATCAAAATAAAGAGACAGCTCAACTGCAACAAATATCCCATGTAGCACAGCCGAAACAGTGAATCAAAAACACCTTTTTAATTATGCATTAAGCATTTAAGTTGAGATGAAAAACCACGGCTCCACATATCGCTTGCAACAGAAAAAAAGCTGCTGTTGATGTCTGAAGAATGCAGGAGTTTGTATTCAATGGAGCCATTTAACCACCCTTTGTGGAAAGCAGTAGTGAAAAGTTCAGATCTGGGTTCAGCAAAATAGAAGTCTTATCAAAAACCACCTAGAGATATTTTTGGCTATTAAACATTTATGCATCTTTTACAAAAACAAAACAAAAAAATATAAACCTCTCTTTTCTTATAAACAAGTCTGTTTTCACAACTGATGATTTCTATCCCTCAACGTTTGGGCATCAAAATGTTGTGTCAGCACTTACGTTTCAAAAGACACTGTGCTTTTCTACACAAATGATAACCTCCCCCACATTCCCCACCTGTTCCAGCTCCATGACTGGTTTCATGTATGTTCTGCATTGCTATGAGGAACTTGGCACAAGCCCTCCAGCTCCTTTAAAGATGCCTGAATGCCCGACTGGTGTGTCACTTTAATGCTCACGCAGAGTTTGTACGTATGCTGTGTTATCTGCCTATAAGGAGGTAATCAGAGTCAAGTCACAGGACAGATTTTAATATCATTTTGGAACTTTTTTCCCCATTCAAACAGCTGTACTAAGACAGGAACAACCAGCTTACCCAGCTGTTTGACACTGGTCCACTAGCAAACACCCCTGGAAAGAGCCTATGCAATGGAGCAGACAGAGCAACCAACACTTTGCACTTTCCTACTGCTCCAGCTTCTGGCAATCCACATGTGCAAACTTTCCAACCTGGATGCTACATATACACCACACGTTTAACAGCCTCAAGGGACATTTTTTCCATAAACTTGTCTCAGAAGCTGGTGAACTCATTGGTGCTTTCGGTTTCCACAACATCCCGTAGCAATGAGTTCCATAATGGGGTTATAATGCTGTGTGGACAAGAAAAAGTAGAATCTCCACTCTTTGTGGCCTTTCCTCTAAACTTACTGCTTCTTACTTGCACTTTATCCCTCCAGTTCTCAGGTTACTAACTGCCTTTCTCTGTGTAGCTGATGATTTTATCCCCTCTTATATGAGGAGTCCAGAATCCCAGACCATCTGCTGGAACCCACTGAAAAGCTGCTCCGCACCCTCTGTATGTGCCACTGTACTTCGTGTGCTTTTCTTTCTATCCTTCTTAAGGAAGAGCCAGGAGAACTTCATTTTGTAGTTTGCATCTGGGAGCCCAACAAAGTAACCTTGTGATACGCTGATGTTTCCCACTCTGTCCTCCGGTATTTGTCCCACATTCTGTTTACGTTGTGATGAGAACCGCTGTTGTCTAACAGCTACTTGCAGTGATTCCATAATCGCTCTACTGATTACCAGCTGATTTGGTGCCAATCACTGCCATCTTCCCCTTGCCACGTGAATTAATTCACATCTCTCCATACCGAGTTAGCCCCACTTACATTTTATCACCTAGTTATCAGTGACATTACATCCTTCTCGGTCTCACTTCTAAATTTTTCTGATCACGTTTTATAAAGTTTGTCATTTCTCCACTACTCCCTCTCCTACATTATTTAATGAATATATTCAGCAACACAAGCTTAAGCACAAATCTTAATACTCCACTGATAATTCTCCTCCAAGATGAAAATTAGCTATTGTGAATAACTATATTATGAAATATAGCTATAGCTATATGTCCTACTTTTTTCTCATACCTTTATTTGTTATCAGTTGTTAGGAATACCTTCCTTTTAATCCATGCAAGCTTCGTTTCTTGAAGAACCAGGTTGGGGAGCCTTATCCAAAATGTTATTTACGTGTAAGCAGGCTGTAGCAATCAGTATGCCAGCATTTATGTACCTGTTGCCTTTTACAAACAACTCAGCTATGTGAAGTATAACCTCTTTGCAAAATTGGTGTTGACTCCCTCATTATGCTATATAAATTATTATACACTTGTCCACGTGTATGCATTCTAGCATTATTTTTTCTTTCTATTATTTTACTAGTTTTCCAAGTCAGACTTACAGCCTTCATTTTCCAGAATCCCCTATCTAAAGTCTTGGGAGCATTTCATTACCTTCAGTTACTCTGATAGGGCCAATGCAAGCAGTAAAAATTACGTCCTGAACGTAAAAGTTTGGCAACTTCAGATTTGGGTGCTGGTGAATACAGCCAGGCTGCCTAGATCTCCCTCTGACTCAATTCAAGAACATCCTCCAGACACTGCACCCATGGGAAGTGGCCCCATTGTGAGCACCTCGGTAGGAATTACCCACAGCAGGGGTTTCGTTACTGTACTTCAGCTTGACATTTGGCTTGCTGGAGGGTTTGCTCTTTCCCTCATTATTTTCTATCTTTATAGAAACACCTTTAAAAATGACGAATTTCCTTTAATTTGCTGTTAAGCCATTCTGATTGGGAGGGCTTTTGAAGAACAGCATGCTCTTCTGCAAGCCTCTAGCATGGTGTATCACATAGCCTCTCTGCCACCTGCAACCATTAAACCTTTTAGCTGTTCCTTTTAATAGGCTATCATTTTTATTAAAATTCCCTTTCTTGATATCAAAACTTACCATCGTGAAGTTTATTTGGACTTACATTCCTGCAAGGACGACGAACCTGAATATATTATAGCCACAACTACAGATTAGTTCTCTGCTAAATGTCTTTTTAACTAACTCTTACAATACTACTGAAGAGCATCAAGAAGTTATTATCCTTTTATTGGCCCTTTGATTTGTTCCTCCAGGAAGCAAGCACTTACAGTTTTAACTTTTTTTTTTTGCCTTTGTAGTGCCATCCTGTGCCTCTTACCAAATCTCTGAAGGGTAAGTGAGATCTCCATTAACACTATTGCTGTCCTCAGAACCTCTCTGATCTCCCTTAACATCCCATTGACACTTTTATTATTGTGGCCAAACGATAGCGGGCCCAGTTTCTACACTAGGGCCCAGTTTCTACACTATATACACCCCATTAACGCATGGCTTGGCAACCCCCAAAGGACTCAGCTGTAGTTATTGATTTCTCTATTAATCTAGAGAAATATTAAAGACAAGTGAGGCATGTAACAATTCCATCCCATCTTTAATGCCATGTAGTTCTCCAACCTGGATATTTTGGGCCCCAACAAGTTTCCATTACCTACTGATGCCCTCACTTAAAACTAGCGGGTCCAAGTTGCCCAGATTTCGATGTGCAGTTCTTACAATGCGAGTCTGTTGCCTGTTCTCATGGGTGATTTAAGCAGAGCTTTATTTCTCAATCTTGCTCTTTGACTTTTCAGATGTCAACCTCTATGGCTTCTGTGATATCTCCCTCCCCATCCCGCTACCCAGGAGCACTGACTTCACCCTACATACTCTCAAACTATTTTAAATAACACATCTGAAGGAGACTGACAAGTTCTTCAAATCTCCTCAATGCCATCCGTATGGGTCTGTTTTGGTTCAGACCGAGGCCACCCTTTCTGCACAAATGCCACCTGTTCCAAGAGCTCCCACAGTTTCTAAACTAATTCTTTCAACTGTGTTCCTCACTCACCCACTGAGAGCTACAGGTATGTCTATTGAGAATGTATTTTTTTTTCCTCCCCTCCTGTAGCATCATCAGCCACTATTATCTTGACTGACGACTACTCTAAGAGCTCTCACATTTCAGAGTAAGCAGGCTCTCTCTAGAGAACCTGTATATTTCTGTAAGCTTCTTGGTCCTTCTTTATCTAAGCAATCAGCTCTCAAACTTTTAGGGGAAGGAACCTTACTTTTCTGTCCCTTGAAGAAGTAATATTTAAACTGGGACAGAGAAAACCATTAATTCAGAGCAAAAAAGATTATATTTTTACGATGATTTAGTCAGCCTTTTCATATTTTGTGAAAGAGAAACTAATTGGTCTTGGAGAAAATTTCATAGGAAGATACTGAGATACCAAAACCCATTCTTCTCAGACTTCCTTCCCAGTTATTATTTTTTTTTAGGAGCTCATTATAATCGCTCCTATTGTTTGAATATTTTGACATTTTCTTCGCATCTTTTTTCTGCTGGATTGACCAGCAACCAACTTCTCAAGGCAGAAAATGTAAAACTTCATTTGACTTCTTCCCAAGGATTTACAAGAAGAGCAATTAAGGTTTAGCTCATTTGAATATTCACCCGTTGGGTCCTGATTTAACTTCGTCTGCTTCAAAAGATGACCATCTAAGAAAACAAATCCCCATATTCCCTTAGCCCTTCCTTTTTAAAAAAAAAATAAAAATCACGTTAAGGCCTGTGACAGACAAACTCCAGCAAACCTCACTGTAGTGGTCAAGCCACCACCTGCTGCTTCCTTGCCTTTTCTGCCAGAAGTTGCTGTGCCCTTAAAGCGAATTCAGACAAAGAAAACACACAAATGTGTCAGCTGCTCCAGGTCAGAGCCTGGTATCTGAATTCAAGACACCCTTCCATCAGGCACTTCAGCTAAGAATAGCTTTGATGGAGCGTGGCTGAGGTGCGTGTATTAACCCTCTTCTGCCAACTCACTAGAGACAGCAACGAGGATCCAGGCAGTGACAGCCCCCGCTGCTGCATTACCAGAGCTTATCTATAAAAAGCCCTAAATGGTTCTGAAATGTATTCTGTGTATCGGTTAAGTCCTATGAGACCTCAGTGCACCAAAACAAACTATGCCCAAAAAAGCTACAAACGTGGGTCGCTGCTTGTTTCAAGCAAACTGTCTTTACTTGCACTGAAAACACCTCACCAGAAGTGGCAGAGCGATTCGTAGCCTTCTGATACACAAGACCACAGATCTCCAGTTAAAGAAATACATGCCAAAATGAATTAAAAGAAAAAAAAATAAAAAGGAAATATACTTGCCTCTTGTTTAGTTACTTTTGCTGCATCCTTGCCTTCAGCACCCTCTGGAGACTAAAAGAAAATATTAAGTCAGTGCTTTTATTACAGACTTAAAAGCATCCAAGCAACAGCAAACAAAATTATGGTGAAGACGCTTGTTTCTGTACATTGCAGCAACTTCAGGAAGCCTGGTACAGGCACCATCGTACCAAAGCCATTCTCGATTTTCCAAGCAGAACACCGGGACTGATCATCACCAGGTACACGTGTACCACACAGCGTCCCCCAGTGATCCCCGCAGCCAATTAACCAAAGCACCTGCAGGCTCCTCTGGGAGCTTCACCTAATCAGCAGCTGGCAGCACAACAGTATGAACTGGAAGCCTGAGGTTTGCTCTTCTCGGGCTTCTGAAATCCCCAAGAAACTTCACATGTTTCTTCCCAAACAGGAACTTCACTGGTAATGAGATGAGGCGAACCAAAAAAGCCCAGCATTACTGAAATGAGTGATTTCTTTATCTGATTTGCTCCTTTTGTGCCTCAGGCTCACTCAGCTGGAATTTTGAACAGTATTTTCCCCTCATCTCCTCTCCACCATCAAAACAGCAAAAATCGGTAAAACACCAAGACTTCTGCAGGAAAGCCAGGGACAAACATCTTTCTTCGTAAGAACAAAGCCTCAACCTGGCCGCTGTTGTCTGCCAGAGGTACCAAAGAAACATTAGTTAAACCGCTGCTAGAAATCCAGCTTCTGCTCTTCATTTACAGCCTAAGATTCATTAGTTTATGTTTTGCAAGTTTCCACCTAGATGCAAGCAATTCATGGAAAGCCAGCACACGGCAGCAGTTGGAGGAGAACTACGACAAAGGCATGGGTTTAAAAAGGGCATTTAAGAGGCAATTTGGTAGCCCTTCTGCTTTTCAATCAGTAAAGGAGCAGGCTAGGTACCTCCTCCTTTCTCCTCCCAATTCTCCCTTTACCCACACACAGGTTTTGACACAGAATTCCTTGGAGTTACGCAGGTTGGAGCAGAGGAAAGGACCGGCGGGTTGGCAGCAGCTGCCCACTGCCTTCTCCTGTCCCTGGGCACTAACGTACTTACAGAAAGACACTCTGCAACTCCCTGCTCGAAAATAAAATGTGGCTTTGTTACTCGGTGCTCTCCGGCCAGAAGCGAGGCATGCCACAAGAGCAGCTGGGTTAAAAAAAGCCGAGGAGCGACCGTCTGAGCAGCTAGCAAACAGCAGGAAGTTGAGCAGCACCGAGCGGGGTAGAGCAACTCAGAATAGCAACAGTCAGGCATCCAAAATGGAGCCTGGCTGCTCCCCCAGCTCCTGCAGCCTCGCCGGCCTCCCGCAGGACTGCTTCAGGTTTGCATTCCTAAACGCCTCTCGGTTTGGTTACGAAAGAGCTGCCACGGCTCGCTGGTGTGATGCTGGGAGCATGAAGAGCTGTAAGCAAAACACAAACGAGCAGCTCCACGAGCAGCCACCAGCAGCCTTGCTCCTACAACTTCCCTCTTCGGCACACAACATGGTGCGAGCTTCCAGCACAGCCTTCCCGGCGCTCATCAAGTCCTAACAGCTGTTTCTCCTGTCTGAATTTTCTCAAGTCTTCACAAACTTGCGCTGCACCCTTTCTGCTACGGGGAACTCAAATAGCATCCTTCCTGCGCTGGGCACCTATTTATATATGAAACCTGTGAGAGAATGTCTCATCTTCTCCTCACGGGGGCCAAGAGGCTCGAGATTTATAGGGGCAGGGACAGAAAGGCGGCATGATTCATTTCCTTTGGAAGCCAGGCTGAAAAACTCCCCGTAAACTGAATGAAACCAATTCACACCCCGCAAGCGGGCTGTTTTACACCGTTTCACTTTTAGGAGCTTTGAAACAGGGCTAAATCCTCACCAGCCGGCACTGTCACACGCCAGTAGTCTTGCAGTAATTGCCTGGGAGCAAACTCTCATCCCACAACACCGTACAGTTAAGGCACAGCAATTTACCCCATTATCTCCAGCACCACCGAAAGACACGTCCGCCTTCCTGACAGACAGGGCAGGCTGCTTTTAGATATCAGTATTATTGCTTGATGACAGATTTTAAGAACTGCTCACGAGGCTAACCACAGAAAAAAGTGAAGTTATATTAAAATACCCTTAACGCAGCCACAACCGCTGTACAGCGCTACGACATGTTATGTAACAGCCTGATTAAGTTAGCTAATTAGCCCAAAATTCCTTCTGAGGAAAATCCAAGAGCGATCCTGAAGGCCGAGAGCTTTCCTCCACGGAGGGAGGTGCACAGGAGCCACTTGGGAGCAAGCAGCGCGGGGTTGCACCAGGCTCCCATTTCCACGCTGGCGCCGGTGCCTCCCTGCTGCGCTCGCCCTCCCAGGGCCTTGCCTCCCCAGGAGGCTGGCAGAGCCGCGGGGGAGGCCGTGTCGCCACTGAGGTAATCGATCCAGTTGAAAAACAGCCTGCTGCTTCAATGAGTGCATAAATATTATAAATACAGATACAGATTATAAGTACGGAGCCCCCCTGGCCCACTCCAGTGAGCTCGTTTGGCTGCGCAGCTGCACAAACAATTGAGGCAGGGCAACAGGCAAGAGCCAAGTGGCATGGGCAGTCGTGAGCAGCCCAGGATCCATAGGCTGACAGACCCCAAAAAGTTGTCAGATAGGGCTACAACATAATTGCTAAAGGAGGAACAGAAGCTTGTTTTCCCCTCAGTGAGCCCTGCTCAGGCATTCCAGCCTGACGTGGATCTTCGTGCTAGTTTCCACAGCGCTTTCTCCTCTCCCTTGGGATCAGAGATTGGGATGTGAACCGATTTGAGCCGAGCGCAGCTCCCAAACCAATCGGCATGCCACAAGCAGCCTGCACTCATATCTGGGAGTCACGGGGCTTTTACGTAGAAACCACCAACACCTTCAGGTCCGTGTCCCAGCTCTTGCCCTTTCTGCTGGTGCCAAACCACCAAAGGAACCCTGGTTTCAAGGCCACCAAGTGCACTGAGTGCCCCGTCCTCTTGGCATGTGGCTCACCGTGTTTCACCTGACACCCCAGGCACATTAAAACATGCCCTGGTCACTGTGCCTTGCCCTGCAAACTGCCCAGGGGGGAACCATCCACACGGTGAATTTGGTGAAGCAAAATCAAGACCACAGCTGGTGCTGAACAGCAGAGAAGGGCACAGCACAGCCTTGGTGATTCCCCAGCCGCAGCCCCTCGCACGCCCACATTACACTCATCAAGCAGCCTCTGTAGGCCTGCTGCATCTGACTCTGCGTGGATGCCTACGAGAGACGAGGCAGATAATAAAAGAAACAACCGATAAGGCCCAGATAATGGTGAATTATTTTTTTCCACTCGCAGAGGTACACAGAAGGCACGGCAAAGGAGCTGACTGGCTAACTATAAATATGCTTTTGACATTTAATCTAACGGCAAGTTTTAGGTTCAGATGACCACACATTGTGTCATGCCTCCATCTGCACTATGTAGTGGCAATACAATTGGAGATGAAGCTGCAGCTAAGCTTCACGAGCTCTGTCAGATCTGCACAACTTTTATACCACCAGGTTAACCTGCAAGGCTGTGTGCAAGATTCCCCGTGCCTAGCAGCAATCAGTTGGATTTTGTGGTGGGGTTGGTTTGGGGTTTTTTTGGCCTTCTCTTCCTTAAGCTACAACTTAGAAAATGGTTTTGTAAAGATTGGAAAAAAAATATATATATTAATAAATTACTGGGAGTATTCAGAAAAAAAAAAGGTAAAGGAATATTGAAATTGAACTTATTTACATACAAAGTTCTTGCATTTCACTAGCTGTGAAGTATGCACAAGAACTGGTGTTTCCACACACGACCACAATACGGTGGTGCCTGCAATGCCAACACCATTATAGTACTGTTGAGTTGAAAAGAGAAAACTAGATAACTGTTTTAAGAAAACATGTAAAAGAACAAACTGACCAATTTCCTTTATTGTTGTTCTAAAGGCTGCTTACCTGGTGGAGATCTTTTTTTCCTTTTCAATTCTCTTACTGAAATCCTGCAACATAAGCAGGATTTAATGGGGGACACAGTAACCTGTGGTAGTGAAGTTATTGTTGTTCATTTGAGAGATCCAAAGGTGCATGTTTGAACCTGCAGTGACCAGCTTCAGGATAAACACTTCATACATAAATGAGTGGGTTGCACTGTCGTAAAGGAGAGCACACTAAAGGCACGAAAAGTGAGAATACAAGAACGTGAGAAGTAACAGTTGGCAAAGGAGGTGGCTTATAAAATGCAACAGATCATTCATTCCGGGAAGGATCCTGTTACTAGCTGACACTCAATACCTCAGCTCTGGTGGGACAGAAATTAGTCCTTTCATACCCTTGCATAAAGCAGATACCAATTTCATAGTAACTACCAGCTTAAGGAGTTCGAAAGGCAGAAAGCCTTCACTGTCCTACCACATGAGCACTCTCTGTAGTGTTTCCTCCCTTCTTTGCAAGCTGTTTTGCTCAGCCACACCTCAATGCGCTGCCTGCGATGGGATTTGCCTGTGGATACTTTCCTGGCTCGCTGTTCTAGCTGTGATTTCCATGACGTAATGCTTTGGTCATTCCCTCCAACAACTTTTTTCACCAACCAAAACATGATAAACGCTTGCAACAAAACCACTGTAGAAAAAAAAAAATAAAAGACATCATATCAAGCCCTAAGCCTTTTTTTTTTTTTTGGGGGGGGGGGGGGAAGCAGGGGGTGCAGGGGATACTGCAATGTTTTCCTAAAATTTCCACTCCCCTCACTTTCCATGAACAGAGCTCTGCTATAGCCTAAATTTAATTCAATTAATTGTTTCCCCATACATGCAAGACCTTCTAATTATTTCTGTCTTCACAGCAGCTCTGAATTTCGTGCCATTTCATAAATGTAATTAAAATGCTGTTTGCTTCTTGTTTTAGATTAACAGAGACTCTGCGGGTTGACTAATTTAACACCAACCAACTCCTGCACCATCCTTCTAACCATTGTTTCCTCCTTCAGCTCCTCCAGGATCTTATCATTAACCTTTGTTTATAGCTGGTTCTTTGATCTGCTTGCAGCTGATACAACTATGCTCACTGCCAAGGAAATCTGAATGAACTCTGCAAGCGGAATTAAATCACCCTATTAAATGCTTTAAGAAATCAGGTATTCTTCCTACTGCACTTCTTCGTTTCTTTTTTTCTACAACAAGCCTGACCCTGGTTTAAAATTTAAAAAAAAAGTGCCATTCATGTCAAAAATGTGTAATTCTGCCAGAACCATGAAGTACAGAATAAATCTGTTTAGTGGTTTCATTTTGTAAATACTTATCCAGTCTGATATGTCTTGCACTCTTCCAAAACTTAGTTGTTTTTATATAAATATATATATATATATTTTTTCCTGGTTTTTGCTTTTTAAAAAGTGAGTTCCACTATGTAGATTCGACTTTGGAAGTGGGGGTACATTTATACATTATTTATATAATCTATATCTGCACACATATATATGTGCATACAAACATATGTAGATATAAGTTATTCATATGCATAATCTGTGCAAACTTTGTATGTGTGTATATACTTACATATATAAATAAAATCTTGATTCTGTACAGGGGCAGGCTGGGAGCTGCATGTTCCTAAAGCTTGTCAAGAAATATTTATAAAGCTCTAAAACATGCGTGACACAGAAACTCCCTCCTGCTCCAGACACCAAATTGCCAAATTGCATTTTGCTACTTGTATTAAATCAAACACTTACTCCTTACTTTACAAAAAAAAATGTTTAAATACTTATTCTTTAAATCTATATAATATTTAATACTTTCTGTTAAGAAGCATTACATCATTACAATGAAATACTATACAAGACGTCATTTTTAGAATGTTAATGCCTTTACTTGTGTCTACTAAAAGCAGAATATTTAATTTTCTAATCCTTTGGGGGAGAATGTTGTTGGATCATGAAGTTCTGAAAACACAAACTATACTTAAAAGTTTAAATATAAAGAAAGCCATTAATATCCCCTGGTATTAATGTGCTAGTAGGAAAAAAATCAGTGAAAAAGCAGTTCCTGATCAAAATCTCTGTTCTTCATTAGAAATTCAAGCCAAACAGAATAAAGATGCATTACATTTTCAAAGACTATGTGAGAAAATAAGAATACAGGCTGCCTGGATATAATCAAAATCACTAGGCTCAGAAAACAAAACAAGCACATTTTATTAAATTCCTTAACTTTCAAACAGTTAAATTCTGTAAGCTTTATCCTTTTCCAGAGCAGACAGACGAGACAGAAAACAATTTAGGCCTGGGGTATTTCTAGATGTCCCAAACCTGCCAGAAAAAGTACTTTTCCTTCATTGTAGATAGAGGCCTTGCTATTCGCACTGAATGGCAATGGCAATGATTGACCAACATAATTTAAACCACACTGAAGTTTGATGGCGCACTTTGCAAGTCTCACAACTGGCTTGGCTTTTTGTTTTTACACCATTTACTTGAAGGGTTATATGACTGGGACAACGGACTGAAAAAAACAGAGGCAAGACCTTCCAAATTTGTCATCCTTCAAGTCAGGTTTTGTAATGGGACATTTTCTACCTGTAACAGAGCAAAGGAGTTTTCAGAGGTTGCAGCTCAGATCTTAAAAACAGCAGTGTAAGTTAAAACAGTTATTCCTTATTCCTTCCTTATTCAAATAATTCGCTGTGTTTTAAAAAATGCCCACCAGCCACAGGAGCAGTGAGCAGAGCTCATCTATCTGAAGTCATCCAGCTTCCCCTGAACTCCAGACCCGAGAATTCAGCTCGGTAGTGTGTAAATTCCTGTCTCAATATTTGCTTAGCAACTTTACTGCCACCATAAAATAAAAAGGCAGATTCAAAGAATATGATGGATGACATTCAACCACTAATAATAATATTTCTCCAGCCTTTCAAAGCTGGTGCCAGTTCTGCAAGTGGGATGGAGCTGATTGACTCATGCAAGTCTACACGCACAGCTGGAGCTTTTAAAACCTTAAAGGCCAGGTTTTGAAATCACCCATGTCTAAATGGAACTGATCAGGCCTGCAAAGGAA